ATTATCAATTTGAGAATCTTTGTCCTTTTTGGCTTTTGAAGTGTTTGATGGACGAGACTCTGATAGTTCAGGCTCATGTTGGGTGGGTAACTCAACCTTATTATCAATTTGTTTCCCTGACCTAAGGGTGATGATAGAATTCACATGGCCATTTGATTGGTCAATGGAAAAGGAAGTTTCAATATGATGAACCCCTTTTGCCTTAGGGTTGATTTCAGGTTGGCTAGGCAAGGTACCTCTTGGTCGTTCAGACATAAGAGAAGTGAGTTGACTCAACAAATTTTGCATTGATTGTTGGAATTGCAGTTGGTTATGAGTTAAAAGGTCAAAATGGCTTTCTAGCTTTTGAATTCTCTGATTGGATTGCTTATTGGATTGGTCGAGATTCAGAGCAAACATCTTCAGAGTGTCCTCATAGTTGGAAACATGTTGGTTTTGTGGGACAAGAGGAACATAATTGCTCATGGGATCAAGTGCTAGATCATGATTATTACTCAATTGGTTGGTCGGTGGGAACTGACCTTGAGGAACTAGCAAACCTTGAGATTAAGCTTGCCTATTGGAATTACCTTGGAAACCGGATTGACCACCTAACGTTTGGGGAGGCAAATTTTGTCGCCATAAAAAATTAGGATGGTTTCTAGTATCAGGATGGTAAGTTTGGCTAAAGGTATTAGCCGTCGGTCTCCTTTAGGTATTAAAGGCGTACACTTGAGCATCTGAAGGTTTAGATGTAGAATAGACAGGACATGCTTCAGTAGGATGAGATGAAAATAATACAGAGTTCAATATTTTTTCTAAAATTCTTTCGTGTAATTCTTTTATTTTATTTTTATGAAGATTGTTTTTATTTCTTTATTTTGTTTTCGTATAAGTATGCTAACTTAAACACCCCTTCTCAAGGGAGTGATGAAGCTACCATGGTTGAATTACAAATAGCTGTATCATGCATATTGTGTAAGTTTTTCTCTTTAGAATATTATTTTACTCTTGTATTTTGTATTCTTATTTTTATAAAAAATTAGGAGGATTCTTCTGGTTTGTCAATTAATGGTAATTCGGAGAATGCCTACTTCTATTTACCAAAGATATATCGGATTAAGTAAAATATATTCTTATATATATATATATATAGCAAAGTGTTATTTCACGCTATTATTTTCCTTCATCCTTCCAAGTTGTAATTGGACTGGTGAAGTGATTTGATTATAAGAGAAAAATTTACATAAAAAGAAATATACAAAGTTATTTATAGTAAGCCATGGTGGTGGATTCTTTCGTTTTAGATTTTTCCAATTATTTGATCAGTCTTATTTATTTATTTTGTTTTTAGTTTATTATTCAAAAATCATCAATTGTTTTAAAAGTTCTCTCCCAAAAATTTTGGTTTTGATATTGATTCACGAGTTTAATTCTTGTATGGTTCGACCCTACTTATTGTATATCATCTTTAATTTAGTCTTTACAGGTCTTTCATTATTTTTACAAGAAGTGTAGAAAAGCAATGACAAAATCCATAAATCTACACTCGTCATGACACAAGATTGATTAATATCCATCCAAATGATATTAGTTGGATTTTTTTTTTTGTTCAAATAATCTGTTTGTTTCAACTAACTGAATTTGTTTCCAGAGTAGTTTAGATTGTTATTGAATAACTAATTTTTTTAACACCACGCTTCATTTTTGCCAACTGCCTTTATAGCTACTTTCAAATCTAACCTATGTTATAAAAGATAAATTTGAAATTGTTTGTTGACCACTTAAATCGCTAAGACTCAGAAATTGGTTATTGCGGGCGTGCCATAATTAATGTGCTTGGTTTGAATTCGAACATCTAGTCTCTTTCAGAGAAAATTGTAAGAGAGAGAACAGAAAACTCTCTCAATAGGAAAAAAAGAAATTGCAATAAAATAAAACTAAAGGGTATGTTTGGCTAAATGAAAATAGATGGTGGAAAGTGAAAGTAAAAGTCAATAAAATAAAATTAAAGGGTATGTTTGGCTAAATGGAAATAGATGGTGGAAAGTGAAAGTAAAAGTGAAGTGAAGGAAAAGAAAATTAAGTTTCCATGGTACATTGTGAGAAAATATTATGTTGTTAGTTTGGATATAATGAAAGACAAAAGAAAATAATTATACTTGTTAAAATTGTCCTTATAATTTTAAATATTAAAAATTTAAATAAACTTGAGTAAAATTAATTCATGCATCAAATTTTGTTGTTGATAATAATATTATGAACTTGTGTGAGACACCAAGTCACCTAAATTACTTTACTCAAAAATATTTTATTATATATATATATGTGTGTGTGATTTGGACATTACAATTTATTAAGATTGTTCCACTAGATGTTTTTTTATATTAGAATAAACAAAACTAATAAAATTTTACATATAACAACCAAGTTTACGAGGGTTTTTTTTTTTAAATTCAACTATAATTATATAACGATAGTATATTTTGTATATAGAATATTTTGTATTATTCTTTTTAAGGAACGTATATATTTCCTAAAACAAATTCTAAAACCTAGTTGATATATATAACTACATATTGAAAATTAATATAATGCACTTAAAAAATACCCACCATAATATGTTATATGTATATACGTATTTGAAAAAAAAGAAAAAAAAAAAAAAAAAAAAGGGGAAAAAAGAATAAAGCAAAAAAATGCTAAAAATAAGATCTCTCACGAGTTCATTTACGTTTGGAAAAAAATTGTCTGTCAAAAAGGCATAAAAAGATAAAGGAAACTCAAGTTATCCAACAAATAATTATAGGTATAATAAGAATTTATAATATAACTTAACAATTTTTCTGATAAACAAAAATTTTCGCGTATTTTTCGTTTCATTCTAAACAAACGGACAAAAAAGTTTAAATATTTTTGAATTTTTTTTTCATTTTTACTAGTTCTATCTAATCAAATGAACCGTTAGTGAAATTAAACGAGAATGAGAAAACTATGATAACTGCTAAAATCAAATTAATGAAACGAAACTTCTAGGAACAAGAATTCAGATTGCAGAAAAGAAATAATGAAGGAAGTTGCACTAGAATTTGATCAACTAAAAGAAAACTGAATTAAAACTAGAAAGAAAATCAATTAAACTAAGAAAAATTTAGAAAAAGAATACTATTGATGCAATTGTTTGAGAGGTGCTGGATCCCTTACCATGATTATTGCACTACTATTTAAAGAAAAACCAAAGAGTCCTAATACAACTCTTAAAATAATACGATAATTAAAGACTATCATAATGTTAAGACAAACTAAACCACTAAAAAGTCCGAACATCAAATAACTCATTGTCCATCAACAGATTGACCTCCTTCAACGTTAGAACACCCACTGTCGTGCCATCACTGCCAAATCCAGCTTTGTCATGTCACTGCCCAGAAGGGTGTCAACACTGTCACGGCCTAGGGTTTCTCCAGTACTATAGCCACCTCTGCACTCACACATACTTGGGTATTGTAGAGGGCTCTCACTCTTGGTGGGCTCCTCGATCAATCACTTGGAGCTTGTTGGTACACTCCATGACCTATTTATAAGCCCAATGAATTCGTTTGAGGACCATTTAGGATTATTATTGGTGTGACATTCCTCTTTCTTATAATTAGTTAAGATCCTCAATTTGAAAAACCAATGCAACAGAAACACACCATCACAATTACAAAAAAATTTAACAGAGTATAATACATATAATAAAAATTAAAAATACACCACCACGTTACAAATTTATAATTAACAAAACACCCAAACAGAGGGAAGGACATCTCTACATAGTAGAAAGAATGGACAAAATTAGTCCATTAATTTGTTTCAGGAATGTTATAGAACAACTAAAAAATTTTATCACCTTTTACCAACTATCTTCATACCTACCCTCAAAAGAAAATTTAAATTCATGATAAAAAGTAACTTACAGACCTTACTCTCACTCCGCTCCACCCGTGGAGGCAATTGTTCGAAAGAGGAATAATCTATTAACCTATTAATATGTCTCCTAACTGCAACTCTCCACGCATTCTAATAGTTATGAGTCTACAAAATTTTCTACTCTTTTGAATCTTCTCTATTTCTCTACATATTTACAAGTTCTTCTAAAACCTTCCAACTCTCTCTATATTACACCACAATTCCTTATACAAATTCGGAAGACTCTAAAATTCTATTATACTCTACTCTTTTCATGTCATGTAAACATTCTTTTCAGCGCTCGTGTGTCGAGTGTTATGCCATAATATCCCTACAATTAGGCAGGGCGAAGACTCTAAAACTCTACTATATTCTACTCTTTTCATGCCATGCAAAGATCATTTTCAGCACTCGTGGGACGTGACGCCATGCAAACATCCTTTTCAGCGCGCGGGACGTAACATTAGGCAACCATTGTGAACGTTGCACAAGTAAAATGGTGAATTCCTTTTGAGGACCATTTAAGATTGACATATCATTTGTGTCTCATTCCTCGTTTTTATTATAATCAACACTTCATATAAGATCCTCCATTTCAAAATTCAGGTCACTTGGGCCTAATTTGGCAACGCATGAATGGAATGAACCAACAATTTCCTTATTTGGTACGACATTTAAAGTGGGAATGACTATTCCCTCGGAATGAAAATCTATTTCACATCTAAACCGATGGAATGAAAATTCATTATAAGAAATGAAATTATTGGCTACCACCACCACCGCCTTCGTCTTCCACCTTCCGCCACCGCCTTCCCCAACGCCACCGCCTTCCACCATCACCACTTAGAATGATGATTATCACTTCATTTCATATTTGCAACCAAACAATAGAATGAGAATGACCATTCCATTATATTTTATTTCTTTTCATTCCTACCTACCAAACTGGTTTTAGAGAAAAACCAATGTGGTGACACGAGGTAAAATAATTGCAGCTAGGCTTTCTTCTAAGAACTGATGCACATTTCTGAAATCATATTGGAGAAAGTAAAGATTTTGGACCATCACAGTTTCGTATAGTTGCACAGCAACTCCATAAATATGGAAAGAATATTAGTAAACAATAACATGCAAGAAATTTGCATACTTATAATTCCAAATCTCTGGAAAAAGAGCGAGCCCAACCAGAATAATACCTACACTGTTTTTTCAAGATTTGGTAACACTAAAGTTGTTTACATACTTACACACGTACAGGCATTATTAGACAAATTCACTAAAAATGGATTAAATTCCAAAAATGCTACAGAGGGTGGATATTGCTTATCATCTGAAGATCTTTGTTGAGGTAATGGTGCTTGATGCGGCTAGAAAACCGAGTTACCAATTTAAGTGTCGAAACATCAATTGCTCTGCACTGTTCACCATTCATTCGCCTTCTCCTACTCCAGTCATCCAACTCATATCTGGGCAGAGATTCAATAAACTTTTTACTATAATTAAAATATATATTAGTTAATCGAATATGAGGTCTTTTGAATTCTAATGGGAAAAAGATCATTTCATGGTAGTGCACCATTCTAATTTAAATGAGTCCCTTATTGTTACATGTAGTGACGTATATATAGTCATTTTTAGAAATTTCATAAAACTACATGAATCCAAAGTTTTATGACAATTGAAGTGATTCTATAATGGGCGCCATTCAAGTGCTAAATAAAATTGAAAAAATAGGATATCCAAATGATTTAAACGTGTAAGAGCAACATAGTGAAGAAGGCCTGATGTGTTTGTATTTGGTAATCTTCAATCAATTTGGATGAATTGACACAAATGAAAAGCACAAGTCACTATCCTAAAAGAAGTCTTGATAAAAGTGTCCCCAAAATGATGACAATGTAGCAACATATTTTGATGTTCTCAAAAACTATTGCAAATGATTATGATCTTTGAGTCACTTATATGTCAAACAATGTGGAATCTAGTCATTTCTAGGTTCTGTTAGGGGAAAATAAATGTCTTGAGATTCAAAAATAGAGAAGTTACCTGTCAATTGAGGCTGTTTAAAAGGGCAATCAGACAGCTGAATGAGGCGCTAAAAAGCATGACAGGTAAAGCAGCCACTCAAGGAACTTATCTGGCGGGTCCTGCGGAAAGATATGGCCTTATGGGATGCTCTGACAACTTGATGAGCTTGATTGGCTAACACTGAACTCCTCATTTCTTGTGCCTTCTTTTGAGCTGACCTCAGTTTGTTCATTATCTTATCCATAGATGACGATCTCTTTTTTTCCAGTTTCATCTGCACATACGTTTTAAGTCAGTAAGGTCCGATTACCAAATGGACCAAGGTGCAGAAAACACACATTTTAAATATTTACTACCAGATGCAAGTACCTCTACCATTGATGTAAAAGATTTTGCTTCATCGATACACACATTCAATTTGGTCAGCTAGAGAATTGAAAATGGAACTGAAAGTAGAATATTGAGTTTTGACGAAGTGATTAGGAATCTACTCCTTTAATATGTTTACAGTGAGCTGCACAATGTGTTTCCATTCAGATACAGACAACAATGCATGTCTTAGATTACTAAAATTTGATACCTATGGATATGATAACAAGAATATCTTACTAGACTGCACTGATATTGTTAAAAACCAAACAAGACAAAGTAAATCACAAGAATTTGGTAGGTATATATAGATAAGTTTTTTGGTATGCTACACATTCACAGGGCTTACACACACATCACCCTTTCCCACCAACACCTCTTGTTGCCCCCCTTTGGCACCTTTTGATGTTGTGGCTCATCCTTTTGGAAAAATATATATGCTGAAAAAAGAATTCATGCATAATCTAATCTATCGAGACAATTTTACAACTGTGTAAGGGAAAACATGCAATTAGAAGAGAACCTCTAGCTTACGCATTTCTGCCTCTGCTTTTGCCTTCTGCAGGTTCTCCCATGCAGTGATTTTGGCCTCCTCCCTTGTAAATCTGAAATATATATTTAAAAGTGCATATCAACAGAGGGACATAAAGAAGGAAGAAAGGGAGGATAGGGGTTGGACCGCTGGAGAGAGAGGTCATCAAAAAATAAATGTGTTGTACTTTATGTCTCCTTGCATTGTAATTTTAATTGGATTATAGTCTATAAACCACGCATACAAACATGGGACATGGGTATGCACCATACGGATACGGCCGGCAATATGACGACAACAATAACAAAAACCGTTTTTCCCAATTACTTGGGGTCGGCTACATGAACCCGGTGTTTTCATTCTGCTCTAAGGCCATATAGCCTTGGTCAAACCACAATTATCATATCCTTCCTTACTAACTCTACCCACATTAACTTTGGTCTTCCTCTTCCCTTAGTATTACACTCAATGTGAACCATATCACTCGTCCTAATTGGCACACTCAAAGGTTTTATTTGCACATGTCCAAACCATCTTAACCGATTTTCTCTCATTTTATCTCCAATTTGCCCTACTCCAACGACTCCCGAATATGATCATTTCTAATTCTATCCTTTCTAGTCTTACCGCACATCCATCTCAACATTTGTATTTCTGCCACTGTCGCTTTAAGCATATGTTGTTTCCTAGCTGCCCAACATTTTGTGCCATAAAGTATGGCCAATCTAATAATTGTTTGACAGAACTTCCCTTTCATTCGTAAGGGAAAAAACCTATCACACAATATACTAGATGCACACCTCCATTTAACCCATCCTTAATTCTATAATTAAGGTCATCTCCAATTTCTCCTTCATTATAAATAATTGGGCCTAAATAACGAAAATGCTCGCTTTTTTGCACCTCTTGATTCTCAATTATCACTACATCCTCATTTGTATTCTAGATTTACTAAAGTTACACTCCATGTATTCTGTTTTATTTCTACCAACCATTTTAATTCTAAAGCTTTTCTCCAATTCTCTAATTTGGCATTAACTCCTCTAGGACATGGCAAAAAAAATAGGACACGGCACAGCATGGATACAACAATAAAAGAATAATAATAATATAATACATTATTACATATACAAAAATTTGATTTTTACTCATTTTATCCACACTATCATAAATATAATCAACAATTTGGAACTCAGAGCTGGATGACGAAATAATAAGTGCTGCTTTTGTTTTCTAACACTTTATGTTATTTTTCTATTAACCAGTCATATTTTTTAAAATTGCATTGGAACTCTATTCCTTTTTAAAAGATCACAAAGCTACCCGTTGTATCATGAAAGTGTCCCAAAAGTATCGTTAACGTGTCCCTGTTGTCCCAATAGAGTCTAAGCAGGAAAAAAAAAAAAAAAAAAAAAAAAAAAAAAGTATTCCAACTCCAAGACACTCCTAGCCGCGTTGAACACGTGTCCGACTATTCCCACACATGCTCATGTCAGACACATGTCCAACACCCCTAAAAGAGTGACCGTGCTTCCTAGATTCTCGTAATTTTATGGAACTACAAGCAACAAATTTAAGTATTCAAGTAAAACACATTATGTTGACCGAAAGGAAAAGAAATAAGATGTGGTGATGAAATAGAACAACAAAAAAAAGGACTCTTAACAAATCCTAATAATTAATATGAAGTTCAAAAAAATCTAAATAGATCAATATCTTCCAAACTGCATGTAATCCTTTTGAAAATTCAATTGAGTTTGGCAGAGGAGACAATTTTACTACAAGGCCAATAGACTCAAAATATATCAAATAGAAAAATATGGTGACAATTCAAATAACCATAAGGCTTGATTTATCCAGAAGACCATATTGTCACTGCAACACAAAATGAATCTCTGACATGTCTTATCATACAGAGTTGTGGTTAAAAGCAGTCAATCGCAATAGGATTCTACAGACTACATGTCATGTCTTTTTATTCATTGTGGTGAGTAAACTCAATTAGACAATTTTCTAGCTGTTTCTCTTCATGTCTTGTCATTGGCTTCCTAACAGCAAAATTAAACCGGTCCCTACTCTCTCCAAGTCTCATTCATCATATTTTCTAAAGCTGGGAAATTTCATTGAAGTAACAGATACATACTTTGAAATGCTATTTGTGGTTTCTGAAACTTCCCAAGCAGAAGATCGAGCCCCCACAGCTTTCCTTTTCCAGGCATCAATATTTTCTGAACCCTTCCCTGGAAATCGAGCTCTCTGTTTCTTAGACCATCTGGTCACAGTGACCCGTTCATCAACCTGCACATCTCTCACTTCTGATTTTGGAGAATGGACACTCTGCAGCTCCACAATGGGGAGGACAGATGGAGTTGAGGGAGAGAAAGATAAATTCCTTTGGGAAGATGAGTGGAGGCTACCCTCGGGGCTCATCTGGGTTGCCATATCCCTTCTTGAAACATCTCGAGAAATATCGGTGGCTGCATCCTTAACACCATCAATCTCCTCTGAATATTTGATCCAATGCCAAGACGCCACAACCAACAAAAAGGAATGATAGACTTTTCAATTTACAAATTGAAAACCACATCCTTTAAATAGCATACACAACCAGGAAAGAAATCAAAGCAGGTATGTTGCTTTGCACATAACTCATCATTACAAAAGAATGTGAAGTTCATAAAAGGTAAAAGAGCAAAAGTGCATGTGGACTAACTTCAGAAAAAATAGTAACTCATTGACTCACCCAAATATAAAGATTCCCTAAACAATTTGGAAACACACTTTATTAAAATGTTCAACTTGTTACCAATTAGCTTTAACTCAGCCGGTATGAGTGAAGTGAGAGTACGTTGACAATTATGTTCAACTTCCTATAATTGAAGTATCATATGCAAACTCCTTCAAAAGAAATAAAGTAAATAGGAAAAAAAAAAAAAGTAGGATATTTTATTTTGCATTGGAGAACTCATTTCATCTAAATATCAACTTTATTAGATACGTAGAGTACTTTTACATAGTAAACGGATGAGGATACATATTTCTGAAAAAAGTGAGATCACCTAAATGTCAATAACGATAAAAGTAGGGCGACACATTTTTTTGTAGTTAATCTAACATGTTTTGCTATTTGTGCTTTGAATGTTGTATCCAGCAAATTTTCTGCTGTAAGATGTTGTGCAACTACTGATTTAGTGATGTCTAAAGAATATATTGAGAAACAACTGATGGTATCCAATAAATAAGATGTGTTATTGTCAATCTCATAGCCAACTATTCACTCACTGTGAGCAATCTTCAACACTGAGCCATAGCCATTCAAACCATATCAGAGAAATTGTACAGAGCACAGCATTAAATGTTAACTGAGAAGAGATGAAACTGACGTTAAAAATAAATAATAGAGAGAAATGAAACTATACCTTGGGTGCCAGCCAAGGAAGATTGATTCAAAAGTTCAGAGCACCCATGTACACTGACTGACCTTGCCATGCAAGGCTCCATGTGTGCAGGGAAACTTCCGCCTGCCCCACGACTTCCACCACACCGAATTGACAAACCTTCTGTTGCCATCACCCCAGCTGAAAACGGAGATCTAGCCATCAAACTCCTAATATTTCCTCCTTCAAGCATTGGCACAGCAGGTGAATACAGTGAGTAGTATGCCATTCCAGGAGGTCCAAGAGGCCCACTCTTGGACTTGGGCCGCCTCTGAGGCTGTGTAAATGAAGGCCTCACCGGACCATCTGCTGCAACCGGACTGAAAATCCACCTCTCAGCATCTTCCCATTTGGAAGGCAGAGTCCTCCCGCTATTGAAAGGCAACAATGCAGCACCAACATGCCTCCGGTTGGCATTGGTATGCAACGGCACACGTTCTGAGCTCCAACCCTTCTGCATCCCAACACTAGTGTGCTGATAATTTGGTGTTCCTGGGCTTGGGAACGTACCAGTTCGGCGAGTCAAAACAGAGTTTTTCTTCATGATTGCAATCCGCGGGGAGGAGCTTGTGGCATTGCTTATAGAAATGTTCAGATCTAGCGAAGCAGGTCTTCGCCTCTCCGACTTTTTCAAATGAGCTTCAGATCTGGATCTCCTGTCTTGACATTCTGATTGGAACACTAACAATTATAATTTTGAAAAAAAATAATAATAATAAAACTGATTTGAATTGGGACACAGAAATTACCTTTGAGAGCTTGAGAGAAGAAGTTTCTAGGTGAATGCAGGGTTTGAATTTCGTCCTCCGTCTCTCCCTCGTCGTCTTCTTTTTGAACTGAGTACAATTGAAGGAAATATGAAATTTGAGTGCAGTTATACTAATTTCTTGCTTTATTAGAAGACCACATGAGATCTAAGATGTAGGGTACCTTTTGCTTTTCCCACTTTTCTGCTAAGGTAACAGTTCTTGTGTACTGTTGATTTGTTTGAATCTGGATCTACACCGCTCGAAGCCTCACCCTGATCATGTCCTGCCAAATCCTGTTTCAAATCAAAGATTTCAACTCTTCGTAGTCGACAAATTTCAAATTTAAGAAGTGGATTTGATTTTTCAAAAAACACTATTATATCTTCCCAATTTCAAAGTTTTCAAAATAAAAGTCAATCACCATTACTTCCAAAAAAACAATATCGTTCAGTCGTTTTCTATCTTGCATAATCTATACATATATAGAGTGTGTGTTCTGACAGATCTTCACATGCAGCATGTCAAGAATCAAAATATGATGTGATTTAAACATGTAAGGAACAATAAATGCAGATAAATAATCAAACAAAACAGCGATTTCTTCTATCTGAGCTCACACACACTGTTATAAATCGATGTTTGTTCAAATATTCAGAACATAAATTCACTAGAAATCACCATACACACACGCACAACAAATACAATCGAAGAATCTGATGAAAACAGAGTGGAGTTACCTGAGAGATCTCGGAGACCAGAGAGTCGTGATCGTGGACATCAGACGCGAAGGAGCAACGATCGACGCTTCCAGAAGCGGAAGAGAAGAGACTGAAGTTGGATTCGACGGTGAAGATCACAGAGTCGGGGCTAACATCGCGAGCTCTGTACCTCAATCTCAGCTGGTCCTGACCTTGAAACCCTAGCTCCGGCATTGTCATTTGCTTATTCTCATCACAGTCCCACAGTTAGAAAGAGAGAGATTCTCTTTCGTGTTAACTAGAATCTGTTGCCATGAGGAACGGTTTAGGTCTCTGTCATTACCTTTTGAGGCCAAGCTTAAAGCTTACCATTATCATCTGTGTTTATAGTTTATATATATATATATATATATACACACACATATACTGTGTGTGTATATATATATATATATATTGGTTTTTGACATTTGAGGGGGTGTAAATCATGATGTTGTGTTAAACAAACACAGCTTTAGTGGGATTCACTTCTTTTAATGTTGGGTCTTACTATTAGCTTGACTATAAATTTGACTTGACTGGAAAAATGAAAGGGACACACTATAGGGACCCCCTAATTATTTCATGAGATAATGTCAGTTTGGTCCAATATGGCCCCCAAATTTAAAATATAGGAGTAACCCTTTATGATAAAAGCTCTTTTTGTTATATTTTGTTTTGGAAAGATAATATATTTTGAACTTAAAGTAAGATTTTAGATTTAAATTCCCTTTTTCCTTTTTTTTATATATATATATATGTTTTAGTTTAAATTTCAACATTGATGGTTCGAATAAAAAAAAAATCAATTTCTTATATAACTTTGTTGATTGAGGGTGACATCAGATATCTCGAGAATCTGAATCCTCTATGATATATTAAGGAAGATGAAAATCATTATTTTCACCTCATTTTTTAAATAGTTTAGTATTTCATACACAAACAAATGTGTCAAATTTATTCAATATTTTTACATACATGTCAACTAATAATTGATTGAGACCAATTATTCTCGTACTATAATAATTTCTATATTAAGAGATGTTATACTTCTCTGAAAATAATGTTAAGAAATTTTGAAACTATGATAACATTTTTCAAAAAATTACAAAAAAACAGATATTTGAAATCCATTTTTTTTTTTACCAGCTGTTCAAAAAATTGTCTACCAAACCAATTCTTAAAACTCTTTTTGATTTTTAGTTTCCGAAACTATTCTCAAAAAAAAAAAAAAAAAAAAAAAAAAAAAAAAAAAAAAAAAAAACACTCAATATTTATATAAATGTTGGTGACATATTGATGATGTTGGGATTGCCAAGAGACACGGCATCAAATCCACAATTTGTCTCAGTTAGCCACGTGCTTCGAGAAGATCATCAAACAAAACGTGATTTATGCTAAACGTGATTTATTTGTCATACACTAGTATTTATTTTGAATATTATATATGTATATTCAACTTAATTTCATTGACCGCTTAAACTGATTTTTAGCCAATCACTTGGACTAATGTTCTACTATTTGATTCACAATTTTTTTTTCCTCAATATTTGATTCACAAATTCAATGCGCAAAAGGAGAATATGTTAATTTTTTAAGTTTCAACTTATTCATTCATGGTTTGCAGTCACGATATTGATTACGATATCATTCACGATTGCGATGTAACGATTTTAATGAATTCGAGCGAATATCAATGTAAATCGACCGAATTAACTTGTTAGTAAAAATATATAACGTTATCAAACATTTTTTAAAAATATATGAACCGACCGATACTTCAAGCATAAGCTAATACAGCGAACTATGCCACCACTTTTGTTAGTCTCCTTTGAAAGAGGTGGGAAAACCCTTACTTAATAATAATAAATAATTTCTTAAATTGGTTTGAGAAATATGAGTTGGAAAATACCAACAAAAAGCAAAGAAACAAACTTTATTTTGTTCCCATTTTCTTAGTAACTTTTTAACTTCTTTTGTGTTTTTTTCTCCTGTCATTTGGCTATCTCGGCACTATGTATAATGAAATTACCTGTATGATTTGAGACCAATACTCTTGATCATCCAATAATTTTACATACGGAGTAGTAGTACTATTTAATCGATTTTATAAACCAAAACACTACTTATATAGTAGTAGTAGTATAGAGGTTGAGAAGAAAATAGTGGCATCGAATTGTTTTTGATTCTGTTGGGCTATTAATTACTTGTACCAATTGACTTCTTGTGAGATGGTGGAAATTAAAAATAAGTGGTTCGTGAAACGAGGTAGTGGGCTCACATTCTGTCCAAACTCCAAACACAACAACAGGGGTAGCTGGACAACCTGGCCTCACGCCGATCAAACCGGGTCACGTAATAAATATATAATCATCAACTACCCCCTTGGTTTGTATCGTGTGTATATATATATATATATGTATATATATATATATATGTGCATATACTGATTTATATACAGTAGAGCCTACTGTCACGGGCCTAGAGATTTGGCGCAGCGGCACGGCCCGTGCGGCACCAAGGCGTTGCTTCAGCTCGCGCAAGCGCCCTGGTCAGCCACCACGACCTGCCCTCCCAAGGATACATGCTGACTGGTTTCGGCCTGCCATGGCCTCGTCAGGGGAACGGCTCCAGCTCCCGACCAGTTTGTGCAGGGATGGCCAACTCCCTTCTTCATAGTCAAGTCCAAGACTAGCGACAAGCACCTCGAACTGAACCGAGTCGACCTGCCTGAACTCTGAAGAGGTACCATCCTGTGCTCCTGCACGCCCCTTCCCTGGAACCATTCCCAGTCAAACTCTGCTCTTTGCCAACCAGCATGCGTGTCTTCCATCCTCCAAGCGTCTTAGGAATCACTTCGTGACATTCTCCCCCACCCAAATCCTGCGACGTCCTCGTCGCAGTGCGGCGCTTCACTACTGCGTCCACTCCCTTCCAAAGTCTGCCTCCATGCGGTATGCTCGCCTTCCTACCATCGCTTCCTTGTGCAGCTCCCTGCACTGCACTCGCCCAATGATAGGCCTCGGACCAAGGGGACGTCCACTCCTCAAGGACGTGACTCTTCTCCGTCATGCCGCCTCCGCGACATCCCGAGCAAGCAATGGCCTTCTGCCGACTTGATGCTCGCCCTTCACCATGGTTTGCATCACCCAAGGACTAAGCACGAACTTTGGTGCGCGCGGCCCTCCGGCCCTTCAATGCGCAACTTCAACGGACGCTTCTTCCTGGGGAGATGGAGGCTCTCCCCCCCAACTGCATTGATTCCTCCACATCGACGCAACTTCAATGCACCGTCTTCATTCTCTGACCCCTCCCGGACCGACAAGGGGGCACCCCACCGTGCTTTACCCCAAGTCCTGCTCTGATACCATTTGTCACGGGCCTAGAGATTTGGCGCAGCGGCACGGCCCGTGCGGCACCAAGGCGTTGCTTCAGCTCGCGCAAGCGCCCTGGTCAGCCACCACGACCTGCCCTCCCAAGGATACATGCTGACTGGTTTCGGCCTGCCATGGCCTCGTCAGGGGAACGGCTCCAGCTCCCGACCAGTTTGTGCAGAGATGGCCAACTCCCTTCTTCATAGTCAAGTCCACGACCAGCGACAAGCACCTCGAACTGAACCGAGTCGACCTGCCTGAACTCTGAAGAGGTACCATCCTGTGCTCCTGCACGCCCCTTCCCTGGAACCATTCCCAGTCAAACTCTGCTCTTTGCCAACCAGCATGCGTGTCTTCCATCCTCCAAGCGTCTTAGGAATCACTTCGTGACACTACGCATGGAACTTCCCCAACTCGCATAGCTTCATCAATTCAGCGCAACATTACATTAAATTAAGAAATTTTTTTTTTATATATTTTTTTTTTCTTCAAGGGCAACAAAGTCAGTAGTTAATTATAATAGGGGATGCGAAGCTCAGGCTCGAAGCCTGGCGCTCCCATAACCACAGGTGTTGGGGGCAGGAATGCCATTTCATTACTGATAAAAGTGTTGAGGACAGTCCTTGTGCTGTTAGTGTCTCTTACTTTTTATGAAACATTAAAAATTTAATACTTTTTGACAATTTCTTCTTCTCTCTCATATTAGGATTATATGCATTTGTATAATCTCTTTAAAGTATATTTACAGTGCATCACATTCCTCACGAACAAAAAATACCTCTAAAATTTTAATTTTGTGCAAATAGGTCATTTGATAAATTTAAATACTAAGTTGACTGAATTACTTGAATCATTTTATAAAATATATAAACAATCTGACATAAGATAATGTGCACAAATCACCTATATATTAATGAGATTAGTAGCGGTATTTTCAGAAAAGTAAAAGAGCAAAACATGTATTACATCACTAATTTATGTCCGATTGTTTCATTGAGGCGTATTTTTGCATAATGTGAAAAGATAAAAGAGTTTTTTTTCATACTTTTTCAAATAAAATAAGTGTTACGGGAATATTTTTGAGGTATTTTTTACACTTATCCCTTATCCAAAAAGATAAAGTTTACCGAAGAAATGAGATATACTAAAAGTGCTAAAAGGATAAAGTGCTCAGAACTTTCAAAAGAGAGCAATAGATAGTCTAGGAATTCTTAAAATTATATAATTTTTACTTTCTTAAAAAAAAAGTTTATATATATATATATATATATATATATATATGATTTTTTCTAATAGTATATATAACTTTTATTGACTAAAATGGCGAAAATTTCGTGATGGTTTTGTGGTAGCTTTTAAGCATATATAGAATTATCTGGAAATATTTTTACCGAATGATTAGCGTGTTAGTTTTATCAATTTTTCATTACCAATACAATTACGATTGTTTATATTTACAGGTTTACTGCCAATAACATGCGACAGTTCGTTGAACTCTCTGTGCTCCTGTACTCCATCAATTACTTGGTTTTTGACATTTCAGAATTTGAGTGGCCAGTCTGCCATACTTTATCTTGAAATTGCTTAATATAGGAATTTTAACATTTATTTAAAATTAGTATTTACTCAAAACAATTTGTTAATTAACTACTTGTAAAAAAGTATTTTATTTTTGATAATGTTGTAAGTTGTAACTGTTTCCAAAATTAAGAATAGAAATTATTTTCACCACGTATATCACAAGTGTCTTTTACTAGTGTGTGTGTGTATATATATATATATAATTCATTCAAAGTAAGATTGAAATTTGTTTATTTGATGGTTTCCTTTAAATAAATAAACTGCAGTTAAATAAAAGTCTGATTTCACCAGCTCAGGTGATGAACAAGCATGTGTCCTTGCCTGTGACCTCTGCGAAATGAGTTATGAGTTGTTTAGTCACCAACTTGGCTCAGGGGCAATGTCCCTTGGCAAAGTTCCTTGGGTCATGATGAAACGTTCACGGTGTAATTAATTCCTTAGGGTCTCACGTTTGATTTTCACTGAATGTAATTAATTCTTTAAAGTCATATATTTGATTTTCACGGAGCGTAACTAATTCCTTAGAGTCGTACATTTGATTTTCACTGAGTGTAACTAATTCTTTGGGGTCAGCTTTTGTGATCATATTTTGCAGACTTATCCCACCCGGATTGGGAAGCTGCCCTTCTTAAATATTTCAAGCTTTTTAATATTACTACAAATAGAAGCATGGTTCCCAAAAAACAAACAAATTGTGAATCACTGTGCTCAGTAGGGTGAATGAGTTGGGCAAAGAGTTTCATATACTAACTAATTATTGGAGTCTTGTTAAAGGGTCATGTTTATGCCAGCCAACCAAACCCGGAGGTTACTATTTTCAGCTCTTCTTTCATCCCAAAGCAACAGAAACACGCACGCTTTCACACACATACAATAAAAGAGTAAACAGTTTTAAGATAACAGGGGAGGGTCGCTATGTTATAAATTGGGCACAACGCCAATCAATATTTTGACAAATAGAGATCTGTGTCAGACAGTACAATCGATTCGGTGGAAATCTACGTTGTATTAATTATTTTGGTTGGTATTCGTCTGTTGATAAAATTAATAAATTTGCACACCTACATGAGTTCATCTCCTATTTCAATAGTCTTGTACGAGGACAATTGACAAACAATTTTGTGTTTGTTTTTCCGTGGACGGCAAGACACACTGAAAGGACCAAAATGGCTCTCATGTCAATTGATGTAGGACCAAAAAGTACTCTCTCTGATTGCAAATACATTCAGAAGGGAACCAGTAAAGAAGAAGAGGGTACAATAGTAATTTAGAGGGAGAAATTTTGCAACTCAATAATCAAAATATCAGAAGGTACCAAATCAATGGATCAAGCCATATATATCTATAAGCACTAAAATGAAACCCTAATTAAACAAAACCACCAAAAATAGAATCATGAAGAAATAAGAAAATTCTCAAATATAATATAATATTAAATAAATTCACATCTGACTAATGTCCACAGCATAAGATAATAATGTGCAAAAATACATATAATGACATATAAAAATATACATGGGGTTAACACCTACCAGTGAAACCCCGGTCTCCCGTCACAACCTGTACATTTTACCTCCATGGCCGGTCAATATCCACAAAATCATGACCTTGGTCCTGTTTCCATAAGCTGATGCCTGTCTTCTACACCGAGGTGCTGCTGAAGTAGGCAGTAACGGCCTTCAACTTGCCATTTAAGAAGTTCTTCTCCACCTGAGAGCATGGACATCGTAAACTAAAATGTAATCTAAATTTAAAATATTAAATAGCAGAATTATCATCTCAAAATACTAAGAAATAAAACAACATACAAGCTATAGCAAGTTTTGTGGCTACAAATTTAATAGGGTAACGACAATGTGGCCTTTTCGAATATGCATTAGACAGACCACCCACGAGGAGCGAGGGACTAAAGGTAGAAATACACCCCAAAGACCATACAAATTGATCCTCCAAATGACAGTGCTCCGGTAAAAAGCATGACATATAGTCCTATACTCCTATACTATTTACAAATTTATGTCATAACTAGACAGACTCATTCAATGATAAAAGTAAAAAGACAATCAAGTTCACTTATTCAGGGCGAATTTGGATGTCAACGGAGAAGGAAATTAGGAACCATTTCGTTCTCACCAGGAATTGAAGGAACAAACCCCATCATCTGTGCTCAAATCATTACAGAAAGAGAACAATTCAGAAACAATGGTAGTTAATTTGAAAATTTTCCATGAAGTTGGAAAATTGGTCTTTTACAACCATTCTAGTCATTATTCCAATTGAGAGGACAGAATTACAAGTCAAATGCTACATAAGAAGCAATTCGGTGACTCTATTTCTTGATTCTTGTTCGAACCCCTAAGACACCATTCCACACACAACCTAGCCAAATGATGCACCCTAAGCTCATTTTATCCATTTTGACACAGTGAACGACTCTGCTTCTATTGAAGCCAAAAAAGTGGCACTAAGTTCTAAACAATACAGAAACCAATTAGTTGCCCAAGGAAAGAAGACAAAAAGGTTAGAGAAAATCTGCAAGAATACCTCTAGTGACCAGGGAGGATTATTCGATAGAGATAACTCTGCCAGTTGGTTGAGATCAATGTTTCTGGGAAGGAACATGACAATCCTGGAAGCAATCCCCTTTGCAACGTTGAAAAGAAAGTATCTGACACAGATCCGTACAAGTGTACAGTTAGAAACTCCTTTAAAGTTTAATCCCCAACTCTTCCCCCAAAAACAATAAAATAAGTCTGAATTTGCCAAAGTTAAGAAACCAAACCCATCATGTGGCTTAAGCATTGTCTTGATGTCGTATGTTGTTACTTTAGCATAACCAGGTCCTCCCCAAGGGGGTGACAAGAAGACGGTGTCAGCCTGCAACACAGGAAGGATTAGTGATTAAGTTATGCTTTCACATTAATAAAAAAGATTCACCAATTACAAAATCAGAAGTACACAAGTGCAAAACACCTACCAACCAAACCAAAAACCTGAGGATTAATATCCTACAGAAAATCAACAAAAGGGGCAAGAATGTGCAACTCCTGGTACAAGATTTATTTTAATTTCTTTGTTATTATTATTATTTATCCTGGCAAACAACTCCAACAATTTTGAAAGCATAGGACACGCAGAAATTTAATATATTATATATATATAACTAAACTTCCTTATAACTAGGACTGGAAATGAACCGAGCTGTTTATGAACAGCTCGGGCTCGGCTTGTTCAGAGCTCCGCTCAGGATCGTTTGTTTAGTAAACGAACCGAGCTTGAACAATGTTAAGCTCAGCTCGTTGAGTTCGTGAACAAGCTCATTTACAAAAATACATTATATTCCCTAAACCTATATACAAGTGTAGCCCAAATTCATTTATATATATTTCATTGGTTCAATTAGTATATTTATATGCCCATCTAACAAACAAAGTCCATTTAATTAAGAAGACCATTGGCCCAAATCATGATTTCATCTCAGCCATTGGATTAATTGTACAATATGGTAAAGGGTTAGATTGAAAACCCTAAACCATAGCCGCAACAACGTTTCTGAGTTCTGCAACCATGCTCGGCAATCCTTCCACTGCACCGTCCTTGGACTCCCCAGGCGACATCAAGGTTAGTTCTCCCTCTCTCGAGCTCGTCAAAAAATTGCCGAGCCGAGCTTGATCTTAGCTATGCCAAGCTTGCTTGAGCCGAGCCCAAACGAACTAAAGTTCGGCTTGGCTCAATTCATTTGCAGCCCTAACTATAGCATAAGAAATATTAGATAAATACTACTTATTCTCATAACTAGGACTGGAAATGAACCAAGCTGTTTATGAACAGTTCGGGCCCAGCTCAGTCAGAGCTCCACTCAGGATTGTTCGTTTACTAAACGAGCTGAGCTTGAACAATGTTAAGCTCAGCTCGTTGCGCTAATGAACAAGCTCGTTTACAAAAAAATACGTTATATTCCCTAAACCATATATACAAGTGTAGCCCAAATTCATATATATAATTATTGGTCCAATTAGTACTTCAGTATTTATATGCCCATCTAACAAAGAAAGTCCATTTAATTAAGTAGACCACTGGCCCAAATCACGATTTCATCTCAGCCAGTCAGCCACTGGATTAATTGTATAATATGTTAAAGGGTTAGACAGAAAACCCTTTACCATAGCAGCAAGAAGCCGCAACAACGTTTCTGAGTTCTGCAACCACACTCGACAATCCTTCCACTGCACCGTCCTTGGACTCCCCAAGCGACGTCAAGGTTAGTTCTCTCTCTCTCGAGCTCATCAAAATGTTGCCGAGCCAAGCTCGATCTTGCTACGCCAAGCTTGCCCGAGCTCGAGCCGAGCCCGAACAAACTAAAGCTCGGCTTGGCTCAATTCATTTGCTGCCCTAATTATAACATAAGAAATATTAGATAAATACTTCTTATGATGTCTCTCCTTGTGGTACCTATGCATGCCACCTCATCAACCTGCAGTTGAGGCTACCAAATTTGATAACACACATGAAAAATTCCACTTGTAGCATCTAAAGTACAAACAAGCACAAACATTTTTTTACAGAGAAGCCAGAATCAAACTTCAAGAAGGCTGTAAAACACATGGTACCATGTTCAATACACCTCGGATAGGCCCAAAAATGTTGGTCTAGTTTCAGATATAAGAAAGGATTAATTGTAAGAGAAAAAAGAATCTCTCTTAAAAGCATTTCTTTTATTTTACAGCACAAATCGTAGAAGAAGAAAGAACCTCCCCATGTTTTATTCTTCAACAATTTGTTGTAATTTTACAATTCAGTTAGTAATTTTGAAACAACAATTATTGCACTCCAACTGTAAATATCAATTTTAATCATACATAAAGTTACTAAATATTTTTTTCTTTACTTATTTGGGATCTCTCACTCTTTAAAATTGCATTACAAAACCTCATAGACATAGAAGTCTCAAACTGAATATCATTTTATCATGCTCGTCTTCTTGCTCCACCCTGGGATTAGTGATAGAAGATACATACAAGGTGACTATATTTGCTCCATTCCTATGCCTTCTAAGGCGATATTTGTTTGGAGACCTTCTAGGAGTTTTCTCGGAGTCGGACCCTCTTTTTCTCTTGGAACTGAATAAAGCTAGATGACAAAGCTGAGCTGGAAGGTACCTTTTTTTTATCCTATTGAGGTACCTCGAACCGACAAAAATTACTAAACCCTCCAATATTTTAACCCCCTGAGTAATTTTTTGCATTTGAAAATTTTGTGAAATAGCCAGAAAAACAATGTCAATAGCAGTTCCCTTGTCATTCACATGAACTCCTTGATTCCAACCTCCAAGCCCTCCTTTTTCCTTGATCTTTACTTAACAATTTTGTAAAACTATCTTAGTACCATTTGTACCTAGCATGTGATAAGCGTCAAATATTGCATATTTAAGCGCCCTTAATTGCATTAGTTAAGCCCATTATTTGATCTGCGTATAAAGATTAACTACATTTTTATGTTTTTGTGTTTTTGCAGGTCTTATTGCTAAAAAGGAATAAGAATAAGATTTTAAGGGTTTTTGGAGCACAAGTCATATCGGGCCTACATATCAAGTGGTTTTCAAAGAGAAATGACCTGAATAGGCGATGGATGCAACCAGAGCTAAAGAAAGAAGAAGAAGCCAAAGTAGCATGCCTCGCATCCGGACGCAAGAATTGGCGTCCGGATGCCAAACCATTAGGACCTCGCGTTTGGACGCAAGACCATGGGCCCCCTTTTTAATTAAGTCCGATTTTATTCTATCTTGAGCGGAAATTCGAATTTTGAACAAGATATTTTATTCTGAAACTCCTGTAAGGATAAATGAGGGGCAAAGGCTTGTATCAAGGGAGGAGTTTTGGTTTTTGAAAAGGAGATTGTGAGGGAGAGGATTTCTTTAGGGTTCTTGGCTGAGTTTTGCAACAATGGTGAAAGGAGGGAATTTCTCTTCTTCTTCAATCCTGGAGTTTGCTACCATATCCATGAGAGGCTAACTTCCTTCCTAGGGAGTTGATGTAACCTAGACCAAGTAAACATATGTTGATTTGTATTTCAATTTGGGGATTCTTGTATATATTCAGTTTCATAAACTAGAAGTGTTTACATTGAATTAATATATTTTACATTGAATTGATGTATGTGGTTATCATTTGAATATATAATTTTGTTGATTTGTTTATCTTGTCTTAGAAATCACATTGACACAATTATACACTTGATTTCCTATAGTGACAATGGGAAAGAATTTATGGAATGGTTATATTGGCATGTAATTGAGTATTTATATAGGTTATGCTTAAGGAAGATGGACCATGCTACACCTTTAGATTAATGTAGTTAGGTAGATGGCCTATACCAACTGAAGATAATCTATGATATTTAATTGATTTCATGTGCTGCAACATACCATTGAAGGACCTTAATAGGCCATGCCTAGGGAAGATGATTCATACCACAACCTAGTTTAGGTGGATGAACCAAGCTTACCAAAGATGGATTATGCTTAGTCGTGAAATGTATGATCTTCTTGACGATGTGATAGTTTTATACTTCTACACATCATTTTATATATATAATTGTCTATCCCCAAGATGAGTGCAATTTAACATGTTTATGAGGTTGAGGTGAAGTCAATTCCCTAGCCTTCTCTTTATAAGTTTAATCCATTCTATTCAATTATTTACTGTTTTATGTAATTTAAATTCGTACGTTAAATGACAAACCAATCGAACTATCATCTCTGTTATCAAATTAGGAAGTAATTTTTCAATTCTGTTTGCCATAAACTAGCAATCCTTGTGGTTCGACAACCCCCTACTATAGCATTAATTTGCAATGATGAATGTGCTATTGTTATAAGTGGTATTTTTAAGTGGTACACATTTGTGCGCATCAACATGTATCAGAATAGTTATATGCCTCAATAGAGCTTTGCTCACTGCTTCTTATTAACAAGTTTAAATTTTGAAGATTTTCCTCATTTACCCTAGCTTTCAACTCAGCAATTTCATAAGGCTTTAACACAATTAGCATGTTTGGTCGACCAACTCACTGTTAAGAACATAAGTTAATATTTAATAGGGTTAAATGCTCCTACACCCGAGGTTTGGATTTATTGCTCTCAGATTAAACCTGAGTAAAAATCACTATGACACCCCCTTGATAAAATAAAATGCCTAACTTACCCTTCACCCCACTTTCTCTCTCTACCCACCTCTACTCCCATGCGTCCCGCCGCACCACCTAAACCGCCACCGCCACTGCTCGCCTCCTTCATCCCTTCTCTCTCTCTTTAACCAACAATCGTAACAATCCCATTTCCTCCTCTCTCATCCAACTGGTTGCTATTCCTCTCTTTCTCTCTCTTCCTGTTCATCCACCTGTATTTTCCCTTTTCCACCCCTCTCCCTCTCTCTCTCCCCAAGCGAACTTAGCACCAACAAAGATTTAGAAATTCATGGATGGGTAGGTACATCAGGAAATCGAGGACGAAAGGTGAGATTGCGATTATGGAGGTTTCTCAGTCTCTTGGCATTCAAACTCAGGCCAAAACCCTCGCTTTGCAAAGGCTTCAAAAATCGCCGGTCACGCAACCGTTGACGGCTGCGGTTTTCGGCGGTACGTACCTCCAGCTCCGAAGCCGATGCCTCAAGAAGCCTCCGATCCTCGTGAGTGGGGGCAATTCAAAAAGACCGAAGCAACAACCTCACAAAGAAAGTTGTGTACCAGACCCTAGCCGGAACCAAAACCCCAATTCGAGAACGGGGTCGAGGTTGAATTCTGGTCGGTGTCGCTCGATTCTTTGAATAGCAAGGAGGTGACAGAAGATGTGGTGGGTGAAGAGAACAAGGTTCTAGGAAACAAGAATGGTGCTGATTTGGGAATTGAAGTTTCTTTTGGAGAGAATGTGTTGGAATTTGAAGGTAGAGAGAGGTGGGGTTTTTTGGGTTTTCTTGTTTAAAGCCTGGATTTTTTTTACAATTGTGGTTTTCTGAAGGTTTTTGTTTGTTTGATTGCTGAGAAAATGTGGAAAAGAGAAAGAAACTAAAATTTTCAATTTCTTATATTATTAAAATGTTTTGAATTTAAAGAAAGAGAAGCTGATTTCGGCGGTGGGTTGGATCTCAGCGAGAGGTTCCAATGTTCAGACGGTGGTGTCTTGACGGAGAGCGGTTGTTGTGGTGGAGGTTCAGGTGGTGCAGGATAGTACTGGGAGAATGGAGGGTGGTGCAACGGGACGTATGGGAGTAGAGGTGGGTAGAGAGAGAAAGTGGGAATGGAGGGTAATTTGGGTATTTTATTTTATTAGGGGGTGTCAGGGTAAATTAAACCAAATCTGAAAGGGGTGTCATAGCAATTTTTACTTAGGTTTAATCTAAGAGCAATAAACCCAAACCTCAGGGGGTGTCGGAGCAGTTAACCCTTGATATTTTTAAATCATATATTCATTATGTCCAGCAAGCTTCTTCAAGATTGGTCCCCTAATGCGAACACAGGTATACTTACTCATCGACGAGGGTTCGAAAAGTTTGAATTTATAGATGGCTATAGTGGGTATTAGAGAAGGATGACTCCTGAGGATAACAAGGAAGTTAAGAGAGTATTAGTTTGTTTTATGTCATTTTATATGGGAATCAAGGTAAAGGGACCCAGTCACGCTCTCCAATTTGATAAATTATTAACAAAAACCAATGAAAAGAAAGAAAACACATTTTAGGATGTAATTCACTCTTGATAAAACAAAAGGCAAAACATATACCATAATACGAAAAGACAGTGCTCCTTTTTCCTTGCTACATACTTATCCCATAATCTCATTGAGTATGAAGAATGTTATGCCCTAGTTCTTTCCCTCCACTTAAAGATATATTATCATATAAAGATGAGGATTGATAATATTAATATAACTCAGAAATATTGTAACTTCCACTTTACAACAGATGGGACTGTATGTTTAAACATGTGGCGAGAACTTTAATACCTTCAACTTTGGTGCCAGAAGGAAAGAGTCCCCTCTTATGAATTCTATACGGTCATCAACTCCATAGATGGCTGCATTATGTTGTGCATAGTCAATCTTCTTCGGATCAATATCAATTGCAATGACATGGTTGCTCCTGAAAAGAAAATGACAAAAGAAAAAAGAGAGAAAGAAAATCAGAACATTTTAACAAGAAAAACATGATAATCATTTATATTATTCTCTACATTTGAGTAACGCATCCATAGTGAAGGAGTAAAGAATGAACCTAAATTTTTTTTGATAAGTAAAGAATGAACCTAAATTTTTACATAGTAAATTGAAACAATTTTAAGCATTCAAAGAAACATATGAACTTCTTAAATTAATTAATGCGAAAACCAATAATTTAACTACTAAAAGTTAAAAGCTACCCCAGGTAAAACAATCATAGTTATAACTAAGGAGTTCCAAATTATAATTGATACTAGCAACAAATAGTAAATACATAAGAGGATCTGATTTGTTTTACCAGAAGATACCATAATTGGCACACAAATTAAACCTAAAAGATGGTATATTATTATACTCAATAAAAAAATAAAAATAAAAAGATACAGTATATTATTATGAAGTATGCACATCTGACTAACGTCTACAGCGCCTAGAGTATAAACTTGCAACTCCACGTTAGAGTCATTTAGGAATGTTCAATCCACAATAGACCCCCAAGAAATGAAATTTTAAAAATGGTAAAATTAAACCCACCAATCCAAGCTCAAAAGGCATGTACAAGATAGGACCACCAAAATATTCAGAAACTTCAGTATCATGATCTCTAAGCTCAGATACACCGTGTGATATTCCCCTACAATTGAAGTGAAACATTTGATAAAGCACCGCAACACCCTTTAGGTTTATTTCAAAGGAACTTCAGATGTCTCAATATATTTCTAAATTAATAATACAGCAAGAATGACAGTGGTGCTCACCTCTGTGCAAATTGAATAGCATTGCCACCAACTCCAGCAAAACAGTCCACAATGATGCCAGTGCCACAACGGGATGCATGATGTTTGGCTATAGGCTCTGGCGTGACAGAAAACCATCCTTCTTCGTCCATTTTAATACCATCATCAAATCTGGAGAACAGTAGGTATCTTTGCCACCAATACTTGCTAATAATGGGAGAGGACTCCTCCCAAATCCCTTGAAATTGAAGATCTGTGAAAAGCACAAAAATTTATTGTGGCGGAACAATTTTTTTATATTACACAAAGTAATTATAGACTTCAGTACCATAAACAGCTGAGAAAAACATCAAAAGCACCAGAATCAATTAGTAAAATTAGCACCATGAACAACAGTTTCAAATACCATTTTTTTTTTTTCTTCAGTCAATAAGCAAGCATCAGACACACGATCTCTTCTATAATGCAAATATTATACAAATCTATCCCCTCTCATATAAGCCTAGCTCTTTATCTGTTCAAGAGAGATAAAAGGAGTTAGAAATTGATATATTCATTTGAAATTTTCCCAATCTCCTTCACTCACAGTAAAAATAAACTTTAAATCTCTATACCGATTCTCATTTGTTTTTACCACATACTAGGAGTCAAAAATTAAAAATGTTCTCATTAACTAGCTCTATGCTGCAATGCTTCAAGTTGGCAAGCAATAAAGAAGATTAGTCTTCAGCATTATCCTCTTCTTCAAATCCCCATGCTTGGTTCGAACCCCAAACCAGTATATAAAATGGAGGTCATTTTTATAACAGGAAATTGGCATGTTGACGATAATACACTATGACTATTATATATTGTTAACAACCATCTACTCCAAAAGCTTAAGCTTTAGAGAGGGTGTAACTTTAACAATTAAATCCTTCAACACACCCCCTCACGTGTGGCCTTCTTTTTGGTCCAACACGTGTTTTTCAATTTTTAATTAGGGTGATGGTGAGCTTTGAACTCGAGAGCTTTGGCTCTAAATACCATGTTAACAACCATCTACTCAAAAAGCTTAAGCTATTGGAGAGGGTGTAACTTTAACATTTAAATCCTTCAACATATATATTTCAGATTTAATGGCTAATGTAGGAACTGGCTTGCGAGCCACGCAACCCATTGACCGTTGCCATGTGACGACTCCAACAAGCACACACGTCACATTGACTTTCAGTAAAGCGACATGATCTCCTGATGACACGTGGCTATATCTCATTGGTCAACCTACTCAAGGAGTGTAAGCCAATCCCTCATTTTGAATCCAGAACATCTTTACGTAAAAGCCACACGCCGTTGAGATTTCAATTTTAAATCCAAGTTAGTAAGGTTTGTTACTCAAATCATTTAAGTGTTAGCTAGTACAAGTTTACAGTGTTTAGTGTTAGCTATTACATCTTTAAAGAACCATGAGCATAATCTGGTAAAAACTTCAACAGGAAAAAGAAAGCAGAAAAGTGTAAAGGATAACATGAAAGAAAGTGAATCACCTGGTACAGGATGTAATTGTTTTACCTATTTTCTTAACAATTAGTAACTTATATACAAGGAATAGCCCACATAAGACATCTTCCTAGCAATCAGTTTCAGACTGAAATCAACTATCAATTATTGTGTGGACCAAATTAAATAGTACTATTATCAATTGAATATGGATCAAGACATAAACCTTCATTGTAATTGGATAATTTCCTACGTGATCGTGCTCTCCTCACTTTTTCTTTGTGTTTTGTAGAGATAGAATCTTGCTCAGCATCCAACTTATCTCTTGAAGACTCCACATCTCCTGTGTGCATTTTACTATTCCAATCATAATCAGATACAGCTTCAGTGAGTGTACTGGCCAAGCTGCAAGCAGATTCAGATGTCAGAAGTCCAAAATTATGTTTTAGTGACAATGAGAACACCGTGTAGAGATGCTCGTAGACACAATCAAATATCATGCTTCTGTAATACTACCTGCCAGCATCAGATACTTGGAAGAACGTTTCCTCATAACACTTTGAATGATTTTCCTCACAAGAGAGAATCTTCTCGGGGTTGTTTAATTGCCTGGAGAAGAAAAGCTCTTCAGTTTTATAACCATCTATTGGTTGCAAATTTCTACTGCAAACATCACCAAAAACTAAGGGCTAGTTTGGTGTGGTGGAATGAAATAAAAGAAAGTGGAATGGAATGGTTTTTTTCCCATTCTTGTGTTTGGTGCCAATTTAAAAATTTGGTGTGGTGGAATGAAATAAAAGAAAGTGGAATGGAATGGTTTTTTTTCCCATTCTTGTGTTTGGTGCCAATTTAAAAATTGGAATCATCATTCTCCACTATTCTTGGAGAATGGTCATTCCATTAAAATCATTCCACATTCCAACAAAAGGAATGACCATTCCATTCCCTACTCATTCCATTCCCACCTCCATTCTCATTCCATTCCAATTCATTTCACCACACCAAACTAGCCCTAAATGTTTTAGACTGATTCTCCAACTGTGACAGAGTGAATAAAATGATTCGGGCTCAAAATAAAGAATTCCTATGTTTTACTTAAAAAAAAAAATCAATACTAACTCAGGAATATGGTTGGAAGATAAACAACACAAAGAAATGGAAAATATACCCGTCAACAAGCTCCTGAGCATCTGATAACAAATTCAGTGAAATTTCACTGATGCGACTTTTGTTGATATCTGGGGGTTCATCCAAATGTTCAGGACTGCAGCTTAAAGCAGGTGTTGTCATTAAGTCATACAAGTTGTCAGCAGCGAGCTCAAACCCCTCTGATGGCTCATCAGGTGGCTGGTGCACTGATCTGTTGTCATTATTGATATCCTGAGATGAGTAACAGTTATACTGCAAACCACAAGAATCTAGCAGTTCAGTATGATGGCAAGAAAGTGCAGGGTCAACATCCATCTCGGCCGTAACAACAATTGTTTCGTTTGGTTTATTAGTAGTGTCATCAAAAGCTAGGTTTTCCATGCCTGGAGGGGGGTACCATGTTGACTCGTGTGTTTTGATATTATAAAAGTAGTTTCTCATGTAGAAAGAGTCCCAATATGCCCTCCAGTCTGAGTCCCAATATGTCCTCCAGTCTCCAAAGTCACCATTGCATTTACTGCCAGTTCCATCACAATCAAGAACTTCTAAAGATTGTGAATATGCAACCACGTCATGCCCTTGTGGCAGCTCAAAGTGAATATCACTATAAAAATGTTCACCTTCTCTGTCCTGGACAACGACTGAGGGACCTTCCAAACAGCAATACTCCATTAATATCTCGTCCTGTGCTTTCTTATGATTGTCAAAACCATCATTTATTGAATAGCCTTTTTGAGAAGTTCCAGCATCTAAACTGATCGGAGTAGCTGCAATTTTCATGTTGTCCTTTGAATTATTGTGTACAGAATCACAATTGAGGCCATAATTTGACACAACATCAGATTGGCGTACCTCTTCCTTGGCAGCAGCACAGATGACCACAGCAATGGAACTTGCTGAATTTTCTCCTTCACCAGAGAGAGAATGAATTTTATCATCCACTGCAATATCACAGGAAGATGATTCACTCTGGCCCAGCACTGACATGCAACATAAAGAATTTCTTGTATTGTCATAAAAAATAGAGGGAGATGCAACCTCTCCATCACTTGTTTTGATTAAATCCAGGAACCCGTCCTCATATTCATCATGACCATATGGTTGCTTCTTATTTTTTTCCTTTCTTTTTCCTTTTATCCTTCCATTTCTCTTCTGCAATGCAATCTCAATATCAGTATCTCAAACAAGCCTAAAATTAATAATAATTATATTTAGAGATCATTTCAGCAACCTTCTTGTAATGAATCATTATACATGTTCTACACATAGAAGTCAACCTGTGAAGCATACAAGAAAAGATATTCAACATTATTCTTTTCATTTATCGTATTGTATCCTGTATCTAAAGATAAAATTTATTTCATAAAAACATTGAAAAATATAAATAATAATAATAATAATAATAAGCAAAAATATCTAATAAGTTGGAAGCTGAACTTAGGGGAAAGTGATGTTCATTTACATGACAAATTAAGTGTTAAAAATTTAGTGCTTGAGATCTCACATTTAACATAAGCCATTCGGAATTTTTATTTATTTTTTGGTAGTAAGCCATAAGGATATTCATGACATACTTTAAGAATGACATTCCAAAAAAACTCTATTGACACAATTATAGATTAAATGTTTCCTGTGGAATTAGCAAAAATATCTAATGACAGGGAAGCTAAGCTTAGGCAAAAAAGTGATGTTTATTTACATGACAAATTAAGTGTTAAAAAATTTATTGCTTGAGATCTAACACTTAACAAAAACCATAAGGATATTCATACGGTATTTTTAAGAAATGACACTCCAAACAAAATCTATTGACACAATTAAATATTAAATGTTTCATGCAGTTTACTTAAATGATTAATATCTGGTAGGAAAAGTGTTCCAAGGGATTTGTGTTTAATAACTATACTGTATCGGTGTATCCTACTTGTCATATGTTGCTCCTGCATTTAGAATTATAGTAGTAACTCTGAATTTTATGTTCTCAAAGTTTTGTCTATAATGGAAATTTCTCAAATGCCTTCAAAAACTTGGGAAAAGAAAATAGATACAATAGCAAGGCTTCCATTCAATGTAGGGGCAAACATCAAATGGTGTCAGATTTCAAATATTTTATAGGATATACTTTGTAAAGAAGGCAAAAGAAACCAAAAACATATTCTCTGTTAAATTTCATCATTTACCTTTAACGATATTATGTAATTTGTTAAGGAAAATTAATATATTAGATGTGTTCCTTTTTTGAGAGTTTAGAGTCCTATTTGGCCTTTTGTCGCTTTTGAGGAATGTGTTCCCCTTTTGAATGCTTCTTTATATATATATTAGATCCTTTTTTTTCCTCAAAAAAATGCCAAAAACAATGGTGTAATTATATATGTGTCTCAGAGCACACATTTAACATGGGATAAATATTTGAAATATATCAAATCATATGTATCTGCTGCATACATTAAGAGGCCTAAGAAATTTAAAGAAGAAAGTTCTGAAATTTGACACAACTTCAAGACAGTACCGACAATAGATTCTGATTTCTTTGAAGTTAAGATTATTTAGAGTCCCTAACATGCTATGGCCACTAGAGTTGGACTATAATACATTTTATGATTTTTCCTAATTGGGGTATTTTAGTAATTTGGTTAAGGGCAGTGGAGGGGGACTATGGTGCTCAATCAATTGTACTAACAGGTCTACTGGTTTGCGGCTTCTAAAGTAGTAGTCTCAAGTCTTAACCTTCACACATTTCCAACTTTAGTTGGTCTCTAAACAAAAATCTTCTAAGGCTTTGTTTGGTTAGGTGGAAACAGCTAGAAAAGAAAGGAAAGAGAATTTTTAAATTTTTTTAGAGTTTGGATAGATAGAAAGAGAAACCTAATGGAAATTTTAGTTTCCTGCATTGAGTAAATACAAACCTATCCTTTGGCATTTTTTTCACAAATTGGCTACTCTCAGGATACACACCCACATCCTCGCACTTGACAGCCAAGCCCTTAACCACTGCAATAGGCAATGGCCACTTAAAAGTGGGATATTATGTGTGTAGTAACAAATTGCCCACAAGATTCTCTGTTCATCTGGTTACTCCAGCAACTGGACAATCTCGTTACTTGAGCATCTGCACTGGAAGAAGAAGATCCAATTGCGACAGCGTTGCCTTCATCCTACGTGCTCTAACACTATTATAAGTAGACCTTTAAAATAGACGTGCTTAATAAAATATGAAAATCACATGAGCTCAGAGTTAAAAATGAAGGAGGGTAATCAAACTCGCTCTAGAGACAATCATATTGAGGATAAATACGAAATTCCCCAACCAACTCTACATACTATTCTCAAAGAGAAAAAAGCTTAAGAAATAGTAATACTGAAGGCATGAAGTGAAGAATTAGAGCCAAAATCCACGCCTTTATTATGGCCAAGAATTTCCAAAAAGGGTAGAACCATAGAACGCTGCAAGACACAATTCGATTATGCAGAAGTTTCTACTTTATATCTATCATACACAAATTGCTCCCACCACCAAAGGGTCAGTGGCCTAGCGGTATCAGCCTCTTATCTCCCAAAGAAAGGTCAGGGGTTCAAGTCTCAGAAGAGACGTGTGTGTGAGTAACTAGGAAAAAAAAAAAAAAAAAAAAATTGCTCCCACCATTGATATCATTGTGCATGACAAATTCAGTAAAACCAATCGAAAGGAAGGGTGTTTTAGTATCATTATTGCTTCTACCGACAGGAAAGTCAAACACCAGGTACTTAACTACTCCAAACTTCATATCTTATGCTCCACCCCTTACTTTAAAACTATTATGGTAAAGATTGCCCTACAGCAGTGTCGTATTGCTTATCTAAATATGTTGACAACTATAGCTTCACCAATAATTGAAAATAGTCATTAACATATTTATCTTTGGCATCTGAAAGAGCCACCTAAATAGGAAGTATAACATCTGCAAAAGCATGGACAATCATTTCTAATAACTAGATAAAATCACAAAACAGCATCATTTCAATTTTATTATTAATATAGTCGTTGAGGCATTTCTATTCTTCCAATAACTCCATTCTGAAGTGATTCGTGGACATCTGTTATGTATTTTGGTGCAATTTCCTTGTTAATTCTGGGTATTGTTCCATGTTGCATTTATGTAAATTTCTTTTATGTTTAAAGGTCAAGTTCTTTAGCTGGCTCTAACATTGAGGTGCATGCCTAGTACAATTTTTTCGTTTTATGTACTCCAAATAAGTGATTGGGAGCATAACTGAAAAACAGATATGTACTCCACAAGAAATCAATACATCACCCTAACAAAATTAACCAAAGGAATAAATACAATGAACAAAACAAAGAACAGTGCAAATTTTGAATCCAGTGATCAGCATTAACATAAAACAAGAAAACTGAATACATGGAATGTTAGCCTACCTCCTTGTTTGTGTGGAAGGAAAGCGGAAGCCCCAAATTGTTCATCAGTCCGGCAAGTTCAACATCCTCCAGAAAAGGTCTGAAGTCTGAACAGGTAATAATGATAAAAAAATTATTTAAACCACTTGAGACACTAGGAGGATAAACAAAATTTTAGAGTGCAATAAATGTTGGCATTAGAAATAGTAAAATCAATACCCTAAATTCTTTTTTATGGACATAATGGGTAATGATTTAAAAATAAGGTAGTATCAAGAAGACCTTAGAATATGATTGTGACTTACCATGTATACTCATTGAAGACATTACGAGGGAGCATAAATTACATAATCCTTTGGGTGGACAAGGGATCTTGAGGGAGTGACTTCCTCTCAAGCACTCTGCACTCTCTTTTGCTATTGGTGTGTAGCAACTCATGAAAAAATCCCAAGACTCGTAGATTGTTGGGCAACACCATCATATGGTTTGAAATGCCACTTGCAGTATAGCAACATCTGTCGGAGTTCTTGAGCGAGTTGCAATAGATTTTGGAAGGTTTTTGATCGGAAAATTGAATGGATTGATTAACCCATGAATAGCGAAATCTCTATGTTTTGATAGTGGATTTATCTTTTACCATTTTACCCGTGGACATATGCTCTTTAGTATCAAGCCATGAAATTCCTTGCTTTTACTAGGTTGTGATGTGTTTTGTTTTTTTTTTTTCCCCCAAACTTAGCGTGCATACCTGCACAAGATCCTTGCAGGTATTCCACATGTATTTGATTCCGTACTAATGGAATCAGACCTTCATGATTTTAGTGCAAGGCATTCAACAAATCAATAGTTAGAGAGGGTAGGAAAGCAACATAGGGTTGTGCTGCTAATCATTCACATTAGGTAGATGATTCACACATGTATGATCACTGGAATGGAGATGATAGAGTGGCATAGCATTTGGTAATTTTACTATCAAGATGGAGATTGTTGGGTTGGTGATAGCAAAAAATCAAGATCGTTAGTTGTTTTGCTGGATATTTATGTGCAACAGTTTTTAGTGAGGGTGATTTGGAAGGACACACAAATCCCAAAGCTCATGGATTGTTAAATGGTCCATGATGCTGCCATCACATGTTGGTTCAGTACGAGACCATGAAAGTGAAAACAGGTTATGTAATAACAATTACCAACTTATTGAATGAGATAGATGCAGATCGATTTCCAATAGATTATCTCATAGATTATTTTAACCACGAGTGGAGTAATCTCGAAGTTTTGACAATGGATTTTGTTATGATTTAGTGTCGTAAATTGGCAAATTGTGTAACAAAAGCCGGAGTCTGTAATTTTTTTATTTTATATTTTGAGTCATTCAGATAGAGTTGATTACTCTTGATCCATTGGGGATGATCAACAATGATGAAGATGTCAAGTGAAAAAAGGTAATTTGAGTAACTTTGTTGATCATTAACAATTAGGGTTTTTATTTAAACTCAAGCGAAAGTACAATTTTGCATGATTTGGTTTGATTGCATTACAATTAATTTGCATGTTCCTGTATAAGTGTTTCAGTTAACCTAATATAGTTACCCACAAGGTTGCTTTTGCATGAAATTGGTTTTATTGCATTAAAAAGGCAAAAGATATTTTTGCATCAAGAGGAATCAATCCCCCTAGCAGAAGGATGATCCTTTAAGTGCTGAGAGCAAGGGATCAATCTCCCAGGCTAGCGATCTACCCGTAGCTGCTGGAACTCAGTTTTCTTATTCATTTTGACTTCTAAATCTTTCCAAAAAGCTATTTCTTATTAACTCCTCATTCAAATACCTATAATACATATCTATCCAAAAAAAAAAAAAAAACCTATAATAAACTATCAGAATTTTGAAAAAATATATTAGAAACATATAAAACAGACTTTGATACGTGATTTACATAGAGATTCATAAGATTATCTATGCATCATTATTTTTGTTTATCACACACACTTTGAGGAGGGGGTTCGTGTTTTTTTTTCTTCGTTTTTTTGATAAGTAAGATATTATAAAAGAGAGCCCAGCAGGGGAGGAGCGGCTTCATTGATTGGACAGCAGCAGAACTCAAAAGGAGTGTCTGGCGTTAGACTGGTTTAGAGATAAATCAATTTAGGTGATTCTTAGGGGTAAGAATCTGAGACATTGGCGTTGTACTCTCTTGATTCATTAGTGGATTGGTTTGTGTCAGGATATAGTCTTGTGGTTTTTTCCGTCTAGGTTTTCCACATAAATTTGGTACATTCATTGATTGTTTTACTTTGCTATTATTGCTTTGATTATATTCTCATGTTTGAATAATCAATTGGATACATCAAAATGACATATAAATGTCAAGGGATTCAAATTAATAATCAATATAATTGAAATTGAATTCAAAAATCAATAATAGATAGTTTGGGTTTGAAAATTTTACCCTCTAGGTTCGGTATTACGCATACTCTCACATCAGAGCCTAGGATTGCGGTGCTGCACTTAACAACCTTTACCAGAGCATATTGATTGTAGACTCATCAGATTTATTTTTTGATATTTGTCCTTGCCATGTGCTTTAGTGCCAAACCACGTAAATCTTAGTGCTTTTTACTTAACTGCTTTACACACTGGTTAAGGATCCCATTCTCATTTTAATTTCTAATCACATGGATGTCAAAAATTAAATCTACTTGACAGCCAACTTATAAGTAAATTGCATAAGGATATATTCAATTATGAAGCTAATGAAAGGAGTGGAACACTTGCCGCTTGCCAATGAAATGGTGTCACTGCCGAAATCATCTTCTGGGATAGATTTCTGCATTCAACAAATATTGATACAATACAAGATACTTGAAGATAAAATCAATGTTAAATTAAATTGGAAAAAAATGAGTATTTTCAAATCTAGCAAAACATTTTTTTTTTTTTTTTTTTTTTTTGATAAGTCAAATCTAGCAAAACATATAAGAACTATTATGGAAAAATTGCAACTACGCTCAGTAGAATAAACAAACAGGAACTCACCATACGTTCAGAAAAAGCCAGCACTTCTCGCGTCTCTGTTGAATCATCGTCCCTGTTCAGCAGAATATTTGAAATTGAATCATAATTTTCTGAAATTTATTCTTTTTCTTGCTTTGAACCTTAATAGTTCTATTTTTATGTAATAGATATTATGCACAAATACATACACATATATATAGAGAGAGAGAGAGGGGGCGCACCATAGGAAGACTTCAGTAAGCTTGAAAAGAGAGCCTAGGGCTTTGATAGCAGGTGCTTCGCTTTCGAGTTCGACCACATCCATTTGTTAAATCTTGCACTGATTTGATCTTTCAACTATAGATATGGCCTTGTCTATATGTTTATGAGAATATATATACGTGTGTATATAATATATTTGGGAGGGAAAGCTAATGGGAGGAATTTTAGGTTTCGAACATTGAACAGAGTCGTGAAGTCCTACTTTCAGTCAAAGATGCATGCTGCAGAGTGCAAACTCAAAACGACGTCGGTTATAAACGAAGAGTTCAGTTAATTTATTTTATTTTATTGTTTAACAAAATAACTTGTACGTAGGCACATTATAGTCCATTTTTTTTTTTTTTTTTACAAAGTTTTATGAAATCTTTATCAAGAAAGATCTAGCATAAATGAGATAAAACTAGCAGGCTAAATTCAAATTATAAAAATGAGATAAAATAAAATGTGACATTTATGAGTTTTTTTTTTTTTTTTTTTCATTTTTATATTTGTTTACCATTTGAACTATCTATGACGGTATTAAAGTTTTTTTTTTTCAATCTTTCGAAGAAAAAAAAATCTATGAAGGTATTAAGCAACAAATTTTGGGTATTCATAGTTGAGGAATAATAAAATGAATCAAATCAATTGCTCTAAAATAGAGACCAAATCAAATCTGAGATTATAAAATTTTCGCAAGTTTAATATTGAAAAAATAACGAGATATGTAGAAAAATAATACTGTATTAAAATTTCTTGAAAGAGTGAATCTTGAAATCAAGATGGAGTCACAAATTTTAAATTGGTGGTTGAAGTAGTAATATAAAATAGAATAATTATAACAATTTTTGTTTCCAAGCATTTTTAATATATTTTTTAAAAAGCAAATCTATAAATAATATCAAAACAAATAAAAATAAAAATAAAATTAGTTAAATGCCAATAAATGAGCCTGTCGATTGTTCATTATTCATTTTCTTTTCACTTTAAAATCATAACAAATAATTTATATACAGATAGAGAGAGTATCTAGAATGCAATGATTACAACACTTGATTTTTTTTTAAAAGAATAAAGACTTTAAAGAGTTTCAAGTGATTTTCTTGACAAATTACCTTTAATTACCATAAATAGGTAACTATAAATGGGAATTTTTTAAATTTTTGGAAGGCTAACTTTAATTTTGTTATAAAAATCACCATTAATAATTATAAATAATTACCACTAATAGAGTTTTACACAATTGAAAGAGTGAAAATAATAAATAATTAACTTTTATATGCATAATTACCATCAATAACCGTAAGTTATTACTACTACTAAAGTTTTGAAAGAAAAAAAAAAATTTATTGGCTGGTTTGTCTATAAAATATCTAAAATTTAGAATATGAAAAAATAATAAACAATTGATAGAGTGAAAAAATGTAAATAAATTAAGGCCTCTCAAGGCTTCCAACAACGTACAAAAGTGTTTGTTTGGTTGTTTAAAAGTAAATATTCATTGATGTATTAGACATATCACAATCGTCGTGTAAGATACACACAAACGTATAATCAATTGTGATGTACTCAATGCATAATGCACAACGAATATTTACTCGTTGTTTAAGAGACCGAGTTAGTCGTTCTTTCAAATTTATGCATATCATAAATCATAAATATGATTAAATTATTATTATTTTCTTCCGTCACAATATTTTATTCCTAAAAAAAATTAAGGCATCCATACTCCGTAGCATCCAACAACAAAAATGCTTCATTATTCATTGCTTATATACTAAAGTTATGCGTTTCGAATTTATTCATTGTTTCCATCAGTCTATATTATTTTATCTCATATATTCACAATCCGTTATTCTTATTTAATTCGATGGTGACTTTTCACACACTAAAGGCGTCCTTCCCTCTACCGTCTCTTTTATTCTTGATTCACTTTTACAGAACAATATTGCAACTGTGTCTAATTGTATTATTTATTAGAATAAAAGAAATTAAAACATATACATATAATTTAATCGAGTGGCCTAGTGTAACAAGGGTCATTTTGTCCCACATCGAAATCGAATGGGAAAGAGATTGGATATAAATGGGTGGGTATGCAGCCTTACCTAACAGTTCAAGCTTTTGGGTAAATGGGCAAGCGCCCACCCGTTACAGTTGGTATCAGAGCCAAACCCAGTCCTTGATCCGGTGCCACGCCAAGCGCCCGGCCCGGAAGGCGTCCGGGTGAGTCCACCCGGGTAGGCAGGGTGGCCCAACCGCAACGAGGGCGTTGCGAGTTTGGGTGGGGGAGAATGTAACAAGGGTCGTTTTGTCCCACATCGGAATCGGATGAGAAAGAGATTGGGTATAAATGGATGGGTATACAGCCTTACCTAACAGTTCGAGCGCCCACCTGTTACACCTAGCCAAGTAGGGATAAGTGGGGCAACTGCCCCACTCAACTTTTAATTTTTTTAAATTTTATATGAAAAGATTTTTATATTTGTATTGTTGTCCCCTCTAAAACAGTTTACATATATATACTCTTTATATATACAACCAAAAGTCTATTCACGGAAGGAATATAATCCTGACATCATTGTAAATATATATAATATCATTGTAAATATATATAATATATCTATTAATTTATACTTTCCAAAAAATATGATATTTTTTCCCACTAGTCCAAAATATTATATACTTTACCACTTTTCAAAAAAAATTCATCAAGTTATTCTACAACACTTTTGACTTTACCACAAACAATTTCATCACATCTTCATCTTCAACATTTTCCACAAGCCAAACAAAGCAAACGGAGTAACCATTTACTAATAAACAGAGACTCAATAAGTCGTACTGCAATGCGAGAGACAGGTAATCTGATATTTTTTTTTTATCATCTAAATTTATTATTATTTGATATTTTTAATTATAAAAATTATTAGTTATTACTATCAAATTGTTTTAGGGTCTATTGTTCTTTCAAATTTTAGTTTTTTTTTTTTTTTTTTTTTTGCATATGTGATATATTAAAACAGTTGGGTAATTATATTATTTTCTTTTTCATATCTTATTATTGATTTGTTGAATATGATTTTTTTTAATATATTTAATTGAATGAACTCAATTTTAAAACAACAATAAATAATTTAAAAAATCGTTGTGAATGTACTGAATTAATATTTTAATTTTTACATATATTGTTTTGGTTCAAATTATATATATATATATATATATATATATATATATATATATATATTATTGTTATTTAAAATTGCCCTCGCAGAAGAAAATTTATGACTACGCCACTAATTTAATCATCCATGAAACTTGAAAGTTGTATGATCATTTGCAGAAACAAAGTGTTGGAATGATTGATTATAATGTACTACGGTTTTGTCTATGCATGAGATCGAAAAGGTGGGAACTAACATTTTAGCTAAATTTTTTATGATCTGGGATCATAATTTATCATTATAGGCCATCTAATCCATCGCTTTTAAATTTTTACTTATTATATATATATTCCAAATATGGAGTAATTTTTACAATTAAATTCTGCTTCTTACTTAATTCGGTATACAACACCCAGTCTTCATTACCACCTATTTGGTGAATCTAATAATTTTCTTTGAGAGGCCCTTACTTCTGAATTTATCTAAATAAAGGTTATATTATCTGCACACGATTATTATTGCACAGAAAGGATTCTATCATCAAAATCAACTCCAAACTGACAATCACTCCAAAAAAAATCAGTATGTAAAATATCTTGAATATGGGATGGTTGTTCATCCCAGTGGAGGCTGCCGGTGGCGATGATTCCGTTCGTTGGAGAAAACTTAAGAGAGATAAAAAGAAAAAAAATAGTTGGCACATAAATGAAATTGATCTTCTTAATGACACATAAACGAACACATATATCAATTGGGGTTTGCTAGTAGACGTGAGGTTGTTGAGAGAGAGGTGGTCACTAGGGTTGAGGCCGAGTTGGAAGGATGGGGGACATGCTTGGAATTTTACTTTCATAATGAGTAAAAAAAATGCTGCCCTACATGTCAAACACCATTCAAAATAACTTTCAAATTTCAAAAGCTTAAAGTAGCATTTGAAAAACCAATTCATTTCAAAAGTTAAAAGTAGCATTTGAAAAACTAATTCAAACAGGGTTTTCTTTAAAAGATCAGGTCTTTCACAA